AAATAATGAGGACTATGAAGCCATTATAAAAGAAACTCACGAAAGGATCAAGAGAAACGCTGAAAAATCAATAAATAAAAGAAAAAAGAAAATTAGAAAGCGGGTAACATTCAATAAAGGTGAATTAGTTATAATTAGAGCAGTGAGGGTGCATAGTCGTAAAAATAATATGTGTACTAAATTACAATTACCTTTCGAAGGTCCATATATAGTCCAAACGTGTAACGGCATCAACAGCTATGAACTCGTACATCCTATAACAGGGAAAATCCGAGGAATTTTCAACGTGGATCAATTATACAGATTCGTTCCTGAAGTTGGTGAAAATTCGACACCACAATCTGAAATGTAAATAATTATATATATAATAGTTTTAATAATAATAAGTTAAGTTAAATTAATTTTTGAAACAAAAAAACTGATAAGTAGCCAAAGAATTTAATTATGAAATAAATGATAATATTTAGAGGTAACAAGATTTATGCTAGGAATATATAATCGGAGATACAAGAAAACAATGTTGTGAATTTTATTATGTATTATTCTAGATTGTGAATAAATTCAAAATTAGAATAATCCAAAAAAATTCAGGGAATGTTATAATGGATATGAAGTTACGAGAAATCAAGAAAATCACTAACATAATATATTAAACTTAAAGCTATAAATTATACATCAAAATTTCTGACTACCCCTCGTATAGCGATAATTTTGATTATGTCAAAAAGAACCAGATTTAGTGAGACAGTTCTACCACATGTAAATTACGGACATTAGAAAAACAAATTTACAAAAAAAAAACTACAACACGAATTTTAAAATGACCTATTAATGAAACAAATGTAAATCACCATCAAAATTCTATAATAAATCGTTTGAATAAACTCATTAATACAATTTTACAAATTGAATTTCTAAAAAGTTACTAAACTGTCAAAATTTTGATTGGACAAATCTATTTCATGCGCCTAGATTCAAATATTTAAAATTGGGGTTGTTGATAAAACAAAAGGGAGTCGCCGAACAACGAAAAATGGAGAGGCTGTAATAATTTTTTCTCCACAAATTTTATAAAAAAATTAAGTATTTTACAATCAAGGAAGAAAGAGAAACAGAAAAATTAAAGATCTATACCTGTGTGAGGTAGTTTGTAAGGTATCGAAAGCTTTAGTGTAATATAGTATGTGTACTTACCTGCCAATTGAACATTTAATCCCGTACCTAGAGAATATATCCTAGAAAATGCCGACAAATGGTTTGTGAGACGCTTTGTATGAACTTCTGCATATTTTGCTGACGACTACTCTGTGCCCTGTGGTTTTATGTCTACATAAAGACATATCTATACTGCTGGAAGATATATGTGTTAACGACGGGACATTTCTAACATAAGGAAATATAAGGTATTTCATTACGAATAAATACTAATGAATTAATAACAAGTAGTAGCTTACACATGATTTGATGCATGAACACTGTCAGAATAAACCACAAACCACGAAATAAACACTGGTAAATTCGTTAACTATAAATAAAAAAGTAATCGTGGCGCCACCTCCAAAACAGTAGGTGAAGCGCATACCTATTGAGGGTATATTTATTCTGTACAACATATTTTATATAATTCTTTCTTAATTTGTGTATAGGTGGCTTCATGAATGATTGGTATGAATGCGCCATTTTTAGTCCTTAAAAATTTTTATTTGAACGTATTAATCATTTCTATTTCCACTTTAATAATATTAAATGTTTGTGATAATTACTCTGTTTCTTTTTCTGAGTGGTTTATACTAGGAAGCCTTTTAGAATCCACAATTTTAAAGCCCTGAGATCTAAATACTTACATAGCTGACATAAAACAACACCCAGTGGAGTCTTATGTTCCTACTCAAAATTGGTAAGATTTCACGATACGAGGGATAGAGGTAAGTGTCTAAACACAATGATGTTACATTTATAGCTGATTGAAGTTTACGATAAAGTAATGGTGTATGGTTTGAATATTATGTACTGATATAAAAAAAAATTTAACACTATTCAAATTCATTTCATAATATATTTTACAATTATCTTTATAACATTCATAACAATATTGACACCCAACTCTGGGGCAAACATTATTGAAACTCCTGATACCTAATTTCAGTACAACAGACACATATTACACATGTTATTTATATTCTGATCCTCTTGCAGCATTAGCCATTTTAAAATGAAAAAAAAAAATTAATAATATTGGATTAGACCCAATTTTTGTCCATTATTGGACTAATCGGCAACAAAATATTTACAAAAAATATTCCTTACAAACTGACGCGTGCTTATTTATTGATGCAACTGGCAATGTTGTAAAACAATTATCTAAAGCTGATGGGTCAGTTTGTAAACGAATATTTTTATATCATTGCGTAATTTACTGTAAATATGGACAGTTTACAGTCTGCCAACTGCTAAGCGAGAGTCACAATGTTAATAGTATTCATTTTTGGCTGGCAGAATGGGTACATTCTGGTGCACCATTGCCCAAAGAAGTAATATGTGACTCGTCCAGAGCGCTTTTAATTGCAATTGCGAGAGCTTTTACGGGATATATAAACATTGATGACTATACAGATATATTTAAAAACTCAAATTTGCCTAACTGCTATATTCGAATTGATGTCGCACATTTTATAAAAAATATTCAAACTATTTTAAAAGTTTAAATAAGAGAGTAAAGATATTTTGTCTGGGAGCAATTGGACAATTGATACTTTGCAAAAATATAATAAATGCTAAAGAAATAGTAAAATCCATTTTTAAAGTATCTTTGTGTGAAACGGATGGAAATTTACAGAGTGGTTGTGCAACACAATGTAATTTAGAGCGCGTAAAGTTAATAAATTTAATGACATCAACAAATGTATATTATGAAAATCTCGAACGCGACACCAGTGATAGTGTTATATTTATTACAGAAATATGAACAATGAATGAGACAACTTGGCTAATATTGTATTTGACAATAATTGGAGTACGTGTGGCAAACAAATTTTATCTGAAGTTCAGTCTTTAATGACTTCTGATTAATCCTCATTATTTTCCAGAGATAGTAAAACATCTGTTAAATGACATTAAATTATTACGGCTATGGACAAATATCTATAGAGATAAATACAGTTTTCGTCGCATACCATCTTCAAGTGCACCAGTCGAGAGTGAATGTAATAAATTAAAGTCACTATTATTAAGAAACACTCTTTATCAACTAAAGAAATTGAACCGCAAAATTTCACTGAAGTTCAGCAATTATTCCTTTGCTCGATATAAGTAATGTAACCAATTTGTCTGCTCTTGGAGAAAAATTGGAGCGATCCTCTATAGAATTTGAATCGTTCGAGAATCTACTAGACAATGAACTAAAAGGGTATACCCGTTTAAAACTTCCTTCTAGTACACCTTGCATACCACAACAACTAAACAAAAATGGAAGTGAAGGTTCCTCTATATCTAATAATTCTTGTTCTCAGACGATTTCTTTTCGATCTTCCACCAAATATGAACAACTTCAGGATTTACTAGACAACGGATTAGAATCAATCAATACTGAACATAATGAGAGCACTTCGCTTATGACATCTAACACATCTCCGGCAAGTCAGCAAAAAGAAGAGACACTTCAGAATAAAATTACTTCTAAAGAAAAGTCTTTGCGGTCTTCTCAAGAATTTGAATCCAAAACCAAAAACAGACCTACCTACGCAGAGTTAGTACCTGTTCCTATCGATATGTACTCTAATTCTGAAAAAAATAACAGTTCTTTATCGTCTGATTTTCAAGAGGCAAGTTCTAGTGTCGACAGTTCAATGGAACTACATAAAGTAAATAAAAAAGTTTGTGTTGAAAAAAGAAAAAAAACTAGTAGTAAACGTATTAAAAAAATAAGAAGAAAGGTATCAAAACACAGCAGTAGGGATGCAGAAGAGTCGCCTACAAAAAATATAGAAAATATATCAGAAAACGACAATAGACATCTTGGAGAAGGAAATGTTTTTGAAATGCCCCAAGTATCTATTTCTAAAATATCTGGACTAAAAGAAAATAAAAGAAGATATGACAAACGCTTTTTATGTATATTTTGCAAGCAAAAATTTAGTAAGTTACCAAGACATTGGTTCAGTGCCCATTCCAACGAGCTAGTCATTGCAAAAATATTAAGCTTAAAAAAGGAAGTATCGAGAGAAAGACTCGAAAAGCAGAACTGAGAAACAAAGGTACTTTTGACAGAAATAAAGAAGTAATAAGAACAGGAGACGGAGAAATAGTTCCCAAAAGAAGAACTCGAACAAAAAATCCAGTAGATATGTTCCATGTCAGTATTGCTATCAGCTGTTTTCTAATACATATATTGCAAGACAGCAGAACGTGTTTGTTTCGGGATCAACGCACTCTGATGTCTAGGAGTAACCCAAGAACTGTTGGCAGATTAATGTTACCAATAGGACCGATAATATCCTCTAAATTCCAGGATGAAATTTTATCTCGAATGAAAGATGACAACATACTTCTTGCCATTCGAAGCGATTCAGTTATTTTACATTTTGGACAAACTGAATTCTCATTACTGCAACACGACATCAGATATAGACGCACAATTACTGACAGAATCAGGGAATTAGGACGACTTGTTATTGCACTAAAAGAACTCAATCCCAGTGTTAGTAAACTACATCAAATTTTTCAGCCGAATCGTTATCAACTTTTTGCTGATGGAGTGCGAAAAGTGGCTGGATTTGATCCTGTTACAAACACATTTAAATCACCTTCATTAGTATTAAAAATTGGTTTTAGCATTAGAAAATGTATTGCTATGCTCAAAGGGGATTATTTGCAAGACGACATTCTGCAAATGAAAGTACCTGAATTGGATTCATTTCTAGAAGTTTTAAACTGTAAATGGACTAATGACAACAAAGCACGCTTATAGAACTCTAAAGGAAAAAGAGGAATCCCCAAAAAGAATGCCTCTTACTAAAGATATTCAAAAACTTCATAAATATTTAACAAATGAAGGTACAAAAGCAGTAGAGAAATTGGTCAAAATGGAATCTGTTAAAGCATTTGAAATGTTAACCGAAACTACATTGGTCAGAACTATTCTTTTAAATAGAAAACGAGTTGGTGACGTACAATTTATACAATATTCCGACTATAACAGGGGTTGTTCTATTGACAAACATTCTGATACCTACAACATGTTATCGGAAGCGGAAAAAGCTTTGAGCCAGAATATGATTCGTCTAGAAGTATGAGGTAAAAAGGGGGTGCTGCCCCTCTTCTACTAACTCCAGAATTGCAACAGTATGTTGAAAAAATCAGTATAAAAATGTTTGCGGGGTGGAGCCACATAATCCATATATGTTTCCTTCAAGAATTCATTGTGATGGGTTCTATCAGGCACATCACTTATTTAAGAAATTTTCTATCGACGCACAATGTGAAGCACCAGAAACTTTAAGGTCAACCAAACTACGTAAACATATCGCAATTACTGTTCAACTTTTAAACTTGAGGGAAAATGAGTTGGATGCCTTTGCCAAATTTATGGGTCACGACATACGTGTTCACCGCCAGTACTACCGTTTACAAAACGAGGCTATAGATTTGGAAAAAATAAGTAAGGTTTTAATAAAAATGGAAAAAGGCAATATAGATCAGATGAGGGAAAAAAACTTAGATGAAATAGAAGTCGATGATGTCGTAGAGGGCGAAGTGATTAATCCAGAGGAAGAGGAAAACATGGAAGAAGATTGGGAAGACGAAGAAATGAAAAATGTAGCAAAAAGAGGAGAATGTACTATTTTAAATAGTGATTTAAATAGCATATCAAAAATAAAAATGACATCTAAAAAAGTTGTACAAAAAATAAACAAAGGACACAATGTAAATGTAAAACCTAAAAAAATTGTTAAGAAAATAATTTGGTCAAAACCAGAAGCAGACCTAATTTTAAATTACTATCGAAAATACTTGGTAATGAAAACCTTACCTGGAAAATTTGAATGTGAAAAATTTTTAAATGAGAATAAACTAATATCTACCAATCGAACATGGACCAATGTTAAAGATTTTATATATAACCAAATAAGAAGACATTGAAATAAAACCAAACAGTGAAGTAAAAACAACTTAATTGCTAGACCTAATTTTAAGTCTTGTTCCATATTTTCAGAGCACTTTGTGGCTATACATATGGGTAGAACTAAAATATGTTATAACAAACCAATATATGTAGGTTTCACGGTGTTGGAATTGTCGAAAGTGAGAATGTATGATTTTTATTACGGCACATTAAAACGACAATTAGGCGATAACATTTCCTTACTTTACACGGATACCGATAGTTTTGTGCTTAAAGTTAATTCAATAAATTTTTACGAATTTATTAAAGGAAATATCGAACATTTCGACACATCTAATTATAAAGCGGATAATAAATTTAACCTCCCAGTAACTAAACCAATATTGGGAAATTTCAAAGATGAATATCCAAATCAGGCTATTAGCATATTTTTAGGGACAGGCGCCAAGGCCTATTATATTATATTAGAAGAAAAAGAAACCAAAGCTAATAAGCGCGTAAAGAAATCCGTAATTCAAAACAGCTTACACATGATGGATTATCAAAAAATTTTAGAAAGTGGAGGTAGAGGCCGGAGGCCTCCGCGGGCGAAGCCCGCGCCCGGCCGCAGGCCGGTTTTTTTTTTCTCCCACTCCCACTCTCTCCCATCCACTTTCCGATCACTATATATACGGGAACCAGACCTGAGAAATTCAGTTTACTACAGCTCGCTGAGTAAACAACTAAACGATGAGCGACTTTGAGGACGTTATTTTTGGTCAGATCTTCAGAGATGAGATCCTCAGAACGCTGACCTGGCGGGCAGAACAATTGGGTCCGTGTGACTCAACTTCTTCTTCTCCTCTGGCAAGGCCGCCATCACCTGCGGGGCCTTGCGACAGCACCACGCAAGTGGAAGAGGTGGATATCGACATCGACGATGTTGATATGGGTGGCTACGGCTCAGACGATATACCGGTGATCGATATATCGTCTGATTCGGATACCGATTCCGACTCGGATTAGGGTGTATGCTCTAGCGGAAAAAACTTTCCGGGCCAACGAAAAAAAAAAAACAAAAAAAAGGTGCCATGAGCGTAATAGAACTTATGGGGACATAAAGATATTCAGGAATATCGCAATGGACCTCGAAAAACTGTGGCTCAATTCAGATATAACGTATAGGCCGGTTAAGTTATCCAATCCAGCCATCCAATATGAATACCATCGAAGAGACCATCGCCGCAACGAACTCGATCATATCAATCGACGCTGTGGAATATGATTTTGAAGAAATCTTCAAGGATGTTAAAACACGGTTCCTTCACCCGTATCACCGATGGAGCTGTCGCAGTCAGTGTGCGACATCCCGTTACCGGCTCCTTTGCCGCTCCCGTCACCGGCTCCGTTACTAGCCCCAGTACCGGTATACGACAGCAGAGACGATTTTGGGGCGCCTAAGAAGATCTGGGTCCTCGGCGATGTACGCATCGATACACTGCCCTCGTCAGCCACATTGCCAAAAGGCAAACTTGTCGGCACAACGGAAGATGCCAACAAGACCGCGGGTGGTTGTGCCGAAGAGTAGAAAGCCGAGAGTCGCCGCAACGAAACCAAAGACCACGCCAGGAAAGAAGTTGAAGGCGGTAGCCTCAACAAGTGCGGCGGCACCAATCCCAATACCGCGCAAGGATGACGGCGAAGAAGACGGCATGAGGAGAAAAATTAACTCCGCCGCCACCGTCCTAATGAATATGGAGACGCGGTATAATACTGATAGGAGCAGTTAAGCATCACCGAAAAGACATTAGAACAGCTCAGGATGGATGGTATGGCTAGAGATGTAGAGGTTACCTTAGCGCCACTTCAGCGCGAGACTGAAGGATTGGCAGATGAAGATGCCCGCATCCAACGGCACTTGGTTGACTTGCAACGACAGATGGATGAGGCCATTCATCGTCGGAACAATGTACACCTACGAACAATATGTATCAAATTGCGGATAAATGTTATTAAGTAAATCAAAACAGTCTTCTTTTATTTAAACATGCGTACTCTGTTAATCAGTTAAGAACGTTTACTAGATGGTGGCGGCGTTAAATAGATACATACCTATAGTTCGGCAGACAACACATATCTTTTTGTATTTATATGGTAGCACCTCTAAACATCTAACTGCTGGAGACAACTTACTTAACTGACTTGTTACATTCAACATCAAATAGTATTCCTCACGTAATGTGTATCTAAATACCACGATACAAAAAATAACAGAGGTATGACACTTAACCGACGAACTCTCTTCGAGTTCGTGCATAACGTGTGGTGTGAAATGGAATCGTATCTATATATTATGTACAATAGTAAATTTTTTGGACTTAATACAATTTTTATCAAAATACAAAAAAAAAAAACGCCAGAAATATAATTTCAATGTTAGGGTAGATATCACAATAACGGTTTCGATTTTTGGTAAAGCTAATCACGAGATAAAGGTGTATCATGTCAATCTCTTGGCGCCATAAAATTATTGATTTTTCTTAAAGTATGTGTACCTACCTCTATAAACTTTTATAGGTAGTACCTATTCTGAAATCTTAGCTGGATTCTGTAAATAGGTAATTTATTACAGGTTTCTACGCACAAATCCCATTAAAAAGCAGGATTCTACCAAATCTTACCATCCTACCTAAAAGCGATGTCCGATCGAGTCACTGAAGTTCCTTATAGGTGGTGTCCATAAAAAAACATATATTTCTACTAATCATAGCCCAACTAGATCCCTAGATGACTCAGCCCTTTTTTTACCGGACTTCGAGGTTTGCGTATTATACGTAGATCTCGACTGAAGACAAACACAATTGGTAGTTTAGTTCAACACATTGTGTGCCAATGTGTCTGCGTTTTACTTATTTTTTTTTTGTTTTAAATTTAAAATTTTGGTGTCTTTCACACAAGAAAGATATTGTAATAATTCTGATGTTATTTTCCATTTTTATATGTATTTTGTACTAAAAAGAATTATATTTAGCCGTTTTTGAGCTTTACTCATTTTATGTCAGTTATTTGACTTTTCTTGGGTGTCTTTTATATATGAAAGGCACCTGTAACGTATAGAAGGTGGGTTACCTCACGACTCTTAAACCTCACTAGGGCCCATTGTGCATCCTTCTAAGCTGATATGCACCAAGCTCTTGAGCCAGCCTAAGAATTTAATGTAGGTGACAACGCCGCCAAGAGGTGCTTCTTTTATATCAGTTGGTATTAGCCGATATTCGCTGAATGCAAATCTTTTAATAAGTGGTGCGTTGGGTATGGGGGATATGCTCGATGGTCTCATCTTCTTGTTCTCATTTCTTGCCTTCGGGGTTTGCGTATTATACGTAGATCTTCACTAAAGACAAACATAATAGGTAGTTTAGTTCAACACATTGTATGCCAATGTGTCTGCGTTTTACTTATTTTTTTTTGTTTTAAATTTAAATTTTGGTAATATTTTCCATTTTTGTATGTATTTTGTATTGATATGAATTATTTTTAGCCTTTTTTGAGCTTTACTCATTTTACGTGATTTTTTAGGTGTCTTTTATATATGAAAGGCATCTGTATCATATGGAGGGTGAGTTACCTCACGACACTTAAACCTCACTAGGGCCCATTGTGCATCCTTCTAAGATGATAAGCAGCAAGCTCGTGAGCCAGCCTACAGATTTAATGTAGGTGACAACGCCGCCAAGAGATGCTTCTTTTATATCGGTCGGTATTAGCCGATATTCGCTGAATACAAATCTTTTAATAAATCGTAGGAAGACATGCTCGATGGTCTTATCTTCTTGTTCGCACTCCGTGCAGAGTGTGTATTCTGAGAGCCCCATATTATGAAGATGCTTCCATATTTGGGCAATGACCAGTCGTAGTCAAGTATTTGACTATATACGAAAGGCCTAATCCTGCCTTAAATATATTGCATTTTTTGTATGTTTTTGGTGTTTTCTTGAATCCACTAGTTATTTAAATTATTTTTGAGGATGTTTTTTTGTCTAAATGAAATAAAATTAAAATACAGATTCCATTAGGGAGAATATTATTATTATTATTATTATTATTATTTATTAAAATCTTTTACTTATTGTGTGAGGTAGATACATTATATAATGAAGTAGATATATAGAAATTACCAATACAAAATGAAAAAGATGGTATACCCAAGAGATTATTTCCCTAAAAATTCTTAAAGAAAAATTATATATTATATTATGTAATATTATACCAATAACATAACTATTTAGGTTAATGTATGTGTTGTCTTTAAAAAATTTCTGTTTTTTTTTTTAGAAAAATTTTATTTTATTTCTCTATTAGAGTTTTTAGGTGTTAACATTCATAAACTCATTTAACTCTTTATATTAGCCCATATATTTATTACACAATACACATATCGCACCCCTGATTCAATAGTGCCATAACCTTATAAATGTTAATTTTACAGGAGAAGCGAAACAAAAACGATTGTGGATGTAATATTTTTTGAGCAGCATTTTCAGTACTTGTGCTTACCAAATTCGGTATACATATTGATTAAAGATGTCTCTACTGAATAATGATACATGTAATGTAATGTAAAATGTACACAGATAAGCCTAAAACAAAAAAATGTTATGTGATATGCCAGTCCTGTTGATGGTGCCTCGCGCGGAATTTATTAGAACTATTGATGTGGCACTTTTATATAATGTATACTGGGCAAAAAAGCCAATTTAATTTTTTAGGGAATGGCACTATTGAAAAAGGGGTGCGATATTTTAAATTAACTATATTTACATAAATAACACGTTTTTATAATCTAAAAATAACATTTCTAGATAGGTCTATTTCTAGTAGGTCTTCAATATGTGTTAGGTTGTTTTTAAACTGGTTTAACGGATCTTTAAATAGCCATCAAATCATATTCAAGTAGTGTTCAGATAGTATTCAAGTAGTATTCCAGTAGTATTCAAGTATTATTCAAGTAGTATTCAGGTAGTATTTAAGTAGTATT